TGTTATGTAGTAGAAAATAAACTTGGTTAAGATTGCTGGTCACCACACCTACTCACCTCTCCGTCGGTATTCCAGAAGGTGGGATCAGGTGGGCATACTGTAAAAAACTCGTCAAGGGAGCACTTGTCGCTGGCTGTAATCTTGTAATACAGATGGAAGCGCGGTGGAATATCTGCGTCAATTGCTTGCCCCTTGTTCACAGTCAGCTGACCGGTGACGTAGTCGATCTTTACCAGTTCCTCAGGAGTGTCATTGATGGGACTAAAGCAAAAAACTTACCTATATAGAAATAGTTTTTTATAGGTAGCAAGAGGAGCTACTACGTGGGTAAAGTTAAAGTTAAATCTAATACAATCCAAAAATTTAAAGACAAAAGTACATATTCAGGGTGATTTGTTATTACACCATATATATATATCGTATATATCTATGTGGTTATAGAACAGAGGCCTTAGTACGAGTTTGTTTTACGTTTAAAGTAATCGTAACGAGTACGCATTCGGTGCTGTGATTGGTTGGTTCGTTGATGCCGGCCAATCAGAGTGCTGAATGCGTACTCGTTTCATAATCAAACTCGTATTAAGGCCTCTGATCATTTCCAACATATTTCTCGAACAAAAGGATAGGCGGAAATGAGTTCGGATGGAAGTTGTGGGATTTCAAAAGTAAACTTGAAAGTTGAATTTCGTTATTTTACTACCTTGGTCGGGTCCAGACTTGGTGTTAGTCTAATATCATTAGCACAAGTCTGGTATGTATGTATGTTGAAGTTGTGTACCTCATAATCAAGAAAGCTTAGAATATGTAGATTTTTAAAAAAAATGCATAGCAAGTGTCATAGTAAATTTTTGTGTCAGAGAAGCATATTTCTCAGTCAAACTTGAGAAAAATTGAGTAGTATATTCTATGAATTTTAATCATTGTGTCTAAAATAATGTTATTATCGTATATTTGATGATTAGAACTAGTAAATATAGTCCGCTTATCCCTTGGTTTGACAAACATTTTGGGAATGATGTGTTCTACGACCCCAAACAATATTATCGTCTAATAATAATAGTGTCCGACAGAAAGTTCGGTTTCGGCCGAGATTCGGGCAAAATTAAGTTTCTGCGTCTGTTTCGGTTTCGGCCAAAATCGGCTGAAACTTTTTCCAAAACCGAAACTTATGACGCAAGTTCATGCACGTTCACGCTCGCCTAACTTCGTTTCCCGCGGCAACGCATTGACGGACGCTGTCTGCCCTATTAAAGAATGATCGTGCGCCATTCGGATAGCTCTATAGCAACAAAACTAAGTACGTGTGCGCCCGACGCAAATATTCTTTGAGCTTATGTTTTGATGGAACTGATTACATAAGATTTTGTTTTGTTTCTGTACTTTAATGACGTATATAGTTAATTAAATATTGAGTCAGTAACTATGTTTTGTTGTTATTAACAAATCAAGTCACATGTAAAAAAGATATTATTCCGATGACTTAATGTATTAAATTAAAGGGAAAGATCTCAAAATAGTAATATTTAGTATTTAATGAAACAGTCACAACTACCTACTTTAACTGATAATGATAAACACTATGCTATGAGAACTTAATTTGAAAAAATAATAAAATGTTATTAATTTTTTTTATACCTCTATAATATTTAATAAATGATTACAACTAAAAATAAAAATAATAGGCAAATTTTAGTATTTCAAGAGATATTATGGTTGACCTTGAGTTTCGGTTTCGGCCGAAACTGAAGCCACGACCGAACATTCGGTTTCGGTTTTGGCCGGGTAACCAGTTTCGGTCGGACATTAAATAATAAATTACCTGTATATCAGCCTATTGAGTTGTATTGAAACTTGTAGCTTCAGCTTGTTCCAAATTATAAATTCCTATTAAGTAGAAAGAATGGAGATACTTCAGAGAGCATTTGCGGATTTTGTTCGAAATTTATATAGATAGCCTGAAATTTTTGGATTCTTTTTCAAAAATTACTACTCATCGATGTACTTTGGATTTAGATCGTAAGTGTGTAGATATAGATAGAATACTGACATCATGGTGTAACGGACTCGGTTGTAGAGAGGGCCATCGATGTCGGTGGCCTGCAGGGTACCGATGATGACACCTTCGTCGGCCATCTCACGCACGCGCAGTGGTTGTGTCAGCGTGCCCGCCACCCATAACGGCCTGTTGTCGTTCATATCGATTATTGTCACCGTCATCATTGCTGCAACCAATATCTTATTATTCAAACAGCTGTCTGTGTGTTTACAAAAGTATAGATAGAGTGACCAGCTTGACCAGGTAGGGTGTAGCATTATTTTATTCCTCTTGAATTCTGGCACTTCTATATAAAATCTTTCAGTATGGAAGTTTGCAAATGTAGGTCAGGTTGGGATTATAAATCTTTAGTACCTTATGCTAGTATTATAGTCAATTTCTAGAGTGTACTATAATTAATTTTTTTTTATTTTTTTAAGGGGGAAAAATCATCTTATGTCTGCTCCCGCCTGGGTGAGGCGGGAGGGAGTGTCAGACTCTTACTGACTAAAAACCACCCCGTTCCTTCTCCTGCACGTCGAGCCGGAGCCCCGGTAACCCGTTAGGTTCTCCGCGACTCAGATTGCCTGTTGGGCCCCATCTGTGGTGGTCTGATGGGTCTTTGAGGCGCGCGCGGAACGCGACGCGCCGTACGCTCGGGTCTGTTTCTAGTTAGACGCCACCTATGGTCGCCGTCCGCAGGCCCGCCCTTACGGTGGCCAGAGATCGTCCCGCGATCCCCGACACCCGGTGTGTCCTTCGCGATGGCTGGGTTGCGAGGAGGCAGCGCTTCGCTGCCTCACGCGTCCCGCCTCCTCCTTAGCTAGCATAACTGCTTCGCAAAAGGAGACCTGCACTAGGCCCGGACGCGAGAGGTCGCCATCGCCGATCTTCCCTGAGGGCACGGCGGTGCTCAGCCCACGCAGGGCATTCCGCTACAGTGTGTTCCACCGTGTCCTCAGGGCGGTCCTCGCAGTGATGTCACCCGGGCGTTTTCTCTCGCCCTATAAGACACAGGTACCTCCCGAAACTTCCATGTCCGGTGAGGACCTGCGTCAGGCGGTAGGTGAGGACGCCTTAGCGTCTCTCAAGCCACTCCTCAAAGAGGGGACTTACCGCTGCAATGGCAGCGAGCCCAGCCCTCGGTTGTGACAGTCGTTGCTCGATCCATTCCGCCATGAGATCGCGCCGGAGCTCTTCCCGCCACGCTCTTATCTGGCGCGGCAGCGGAGTTTCGCCCCGGGGCGACGTGCTTTCGCGCGCATGCGATACACGCGCGCGAGCACCTTCGCCTCCAAATCCCACGGCGATAATCTGGCAAGGAGGTTCGCCGCCTCCCCGGAGATCGTGCGGTATCCGCGGATCATTCGGATCGCCATGACCCTCTGTGACATGAGCAGCACCAGAGCGGGCCGCCGCATCAGGTTCGGCGCCCTCACAGGGGCGCCGTAGAGGGCCATGGATCGCACGACCCCGGCGTATAACCTCCGGCAGGAGGCATTTGGCCCCCCGAGGTTGGGGAGGATGCGCTTAAACGCAGCTCCCGTTCTCTCCAACTTTGGAGTCAAACGTCGGAAGTGCTCCAAGAAGTTCCACCGACTGTCGAGGACGAGTCCCAGGTACTTCATCGTCGTCTCGACGCCGATGGTAACCCCTTCCGCCGTTATTTGGGACTCACCCGGAGGTGGCGCGTTCCCGCGGCCATGAAAACACATGGCCTCGGACTTGTGGAGCGCCACCTCGAGTCCCAACTGCCGGATTCTCTCAACGACTGTCGCAACCGCTGTCGCCATTAAGTCGGCCGCCGCCTGGTGCGACCTCCCGTGATAATTAAACCTTTAGCAAATTAATACAGATAGCGGATGTTTCCTACCTTCGTCATAATCATCGCCAATGGCGGTGTTGAGGTCTATCACCCTCACAACGAGGTACAGCACCTCAAACTCCTCGTAATCGATGGTCACGCCCTCTCTGATCTCACGTGCCACCAAGTGTCCCTCAGCTAGCCCGCGATTGTTAGGATCTGGGTATACCGTCAGGATTTCTACACATCTGAAATGTAATCAAACACTATCAAGTGTAAACGTGTTATACAAAATTATCTGAATTTGGTACAATTATATTAGATGCATATAATGAAATACATCAAAATATACATTTTCGGCACGAATTGCACTTATCTAATTTAAGGCGTTAAAAGTGAAGTCACAAGTGTGTCGAGTCAGAGGTTTTGTATTCGATCTCCCTGTGATTGTGCTCCGATTCGTTGAATTATCTCGTATTAAATGGACTCAAACAAAAAGTGCTATCAAGCAAGCTTGTCACTAAACCGCGTAGGCTTGGGTTAGGGTTGGAAGTTCTGTTAGCTTGATGTGGTAGCGTCTACACGGCAAGTACAAATGGGCACATTTTCTGGCAATGTTAAGCGACGTTATAATTTTTGGTGTAAATCACCACAGTCGTACCCGTGGTATTCTGAAGTGGGGGGTGCATTCCTGCCTTGCTTCGTAGCGTATGAGGCATTCCAATCGATCTCGAAGTATAGATCGGCCGTTGTGTCAGGATCCGTCGCCGTCAGCCCTTCGGTTATCAAGAATCCGTCTTTAACGTTCTCTTTTACACTTGGACTTTGACGTGGCTGGAATAAGGAGAAAGTTTATTTCGTCAGCAAAGACAATATGGTAGGTAAATTCGTTAGTAATATTATTTTTAAACTATGTTTAAAAAAACCAACTTCAACCCCCTCTTTTTTCGAAGTCAGTTAATTAATATACTAACACCTTCTCATAAGTGTAACCTTTCTGAAAACCATATAAAAATCGGTTCAGCCAGTCGCGAGATATCGCGCACAAAAAATACGTGCAGGCAGGTCAAATTGAGAACCTCCTTTTTTCTTTTTGAAAAAGGTTTAAACTGTTCACAGTCTGTTAAAAAGAAAACACATCTACTAGACAATTACTATTGTCATTATTCATAATATGATCTAGAGCTAGTGTAGCTTCGATCAACAATAACAACTAGATATCGGGTCAGCGCAAGAAAATCGTCTCGACAAATAAGAGCTCACTTGAGAAGTGAGCTCTTATTTTGTTTAGTATGCTCCAAACACGGCCAACGTACTCACGTCTCACGATGCCGCAGTGCATAATTGCAAGTTGCAAAAATAACAACCGAAAAAGCAGTATAACGGCTGGAGTGTCTTACTTTTGATAAGTACATAAAGTATAAGTTATATTTTAAGCTTTTAAACTAGTAAATAATATCAAATTAGACAAAATTATCAATTATAAACCAACGCCACCAATGTTTGTGCGTGTGTTGGCGATTCCTTGGCCAAGCCTCGCCAACATTTGTTTAAACAGAACAGTGGATGCATCGAGTCGATTTGTATTGAAAAATAAAATTGTATTGTTTCTTGCTCGTTCTTCTCCATAGGAATCTACACCTTGGAATGAGCAAATAGCTTCACTTTTAAATTTATATTGTTGACGTTCAAAAGTGCCTTCCTGGTCTAACTGAAATAAATGATTTTGACTTAGACTTAGACTTTTAATGATAAAGTAAATAAACATATCATACACAAAAACGTACCGCTAATAAAAATTAGTGATGTATACTAAGATCCCGAAATGTTAATTTTCATATTATAAAATTATTTTAGTGTCCAACGCGACTCCATACATACCTCCTGTAGCGAAATTCGAAATTTGAAGAAGCAAAACGAAACAAAACAAAACGATATAGATCGCAAGACAATAATGGAAAAATTATCTTTATTTGTTCGACCTTAAGGTTGAATTCAAACTAGATATTGTATAACTTATGTCTTTTAATTTCTACATGACAGGAGTAAGAAAATACTTTTCTTGTCTTATGTGACGAATGGTCGTAAGTATTAGATAATATTTTGACGATTTATGACTTTATTATTAGGTGCCATGGTTGTTATTAGGTTGAACTTAAAACTATTTTAAAACATTTTTCTCTGTTTGTTATTTTTTACTATTATTATTCACACGGACAGAACTGGAGCTTGATTTTGTACGTAACCCTTTATCTAGTTGTTATTGTTGATCGAAGTAGTGTAGGCATTACAATGGATTGCCTTACCAGTCGCAGGGTAGGTGGCGTGTTGTTGACGTCTTCCAAATGTATGACTAGCTGTGTTGTAGCCCTGTTTTGTGGCAAACCTAGTGTATCCACAGCTTGAATCTGAAATTAGATTTCGGAATTTTCAGCTATTTGTTCACGATCTAAATCTAGATACATCCTAGAACATAATAATATGTAGGTACATGATACATTTATATTAATTTGTTTTTTTTAATAACGTTAGCCTGGACTTGATTGGTTTTGTGTTGTAATCATGCACGAACACAATAACACCTACTTAGGCCCTTACAATGTTTTTTTTTTTTTTATAATTTTGCCCCCACAATTTGTAGATGACATAAAGAATTGACTACACATCGGCTAAGCAATTTGGGAAAACATTTTTGATATTCTCTACAAGTTGTTGTTCTGGGTTTTGGGGTGATAAACGCATCCACGACACGGTCGGCCATACTGTACTCTTAGTTGAGCACTGCATTTTGCGCTGTGACGACGTTCTTATTTACATCATTGTTTTCATTTAAGTATACGTTTTTATAATATTGTTACGGTGGATATGAACAGTTTTTCTTTCTTTCTTATAGCTGATATTGAGATGAAGATAATGAGGTACGGAGATATTTCGTTTACCTGAACAAAGATTTCGTTCTGTCTGTGGTAATCAAAGGCATCGTTTACTGTCACGTAGACGTCTCCAGTAATTAGGTCAATCCTCAGGAAGTTGGCAGCGTTGCCCAATATCGTGTGCCTAAACAAAAGTAATATGGAGTATTTAGTGCCGTCCTCGGTGACCGGTGCCTGTGTATGATGTCTGTGATATTCAACATATTAATTTGATAATTATACAGGGCGACTTGTAACTCGGCGTACACCTTTCGAAAGGTGGTAATACAACTGAGGCAACTGAGGTAATAAAAATTAGCCCTGATGTCTCTAGTCCCAACGTGGCTATTTTTTGAGATATTTAACATTTTTGGTTTTAGTAAGAAGAATTCGAACTAACTACAAAAACATCAATGAATAATAAAGTACTGGCTTCATTTAAGTGGTTTTATTTAATTTGTTGTCACAATGACTGTCACACATAACAATACATTCAGTCAAAAAAGTATCGGGAATGGATGATTTGTTTATTTGTTTAAATTTTTGTTTTTTTTTTGTGGCACAACTACAAAAAAACAACTACAAAATGGAAAACTCCATTTTGGCGCAGAGTTTGAGTTGCATTTGTTATTTTTATTAAATACAGTTCTGGTTTTAGTAATATCATTAGAGTATGTATTGCGAATTTCATAATGAACAAAAATATCGAACAAAGAGTTTGTCTTAAATTTTGCATCGCCAATGGAATTTCGTGTTCGGAGTCACTGAAAATGTTACAGATGGCTTACGGTGAATCGACGTTATCAAAAACTCGTGCTTATGAGTGGTTCAAAGCGTTCAAAAGCGGTCGAGATGTGATGGAGGATTTGCCTCGCTCTGGTAGGCTGAAGTTAACATCGCAAAAGTGAATTAAGTAAATAGTGACTGAAAATCCCCATTCAACTCTTAGAGAGATAGCCGCCGAACTTTCTGTATCTCACGAGTCGATCCGTACCATTTTAAGTAATCATTTGGGTATGAAGCATGTCCTCGGCTCGGCTAGCCCCAAAAGATCTGAATTTTCTCCAAAAACTCAATCGTATGAAAGTCGCTGAGGACATGCTAGAACGAGTCAGTTCGGACCCAACATTCATGTAATGCATTGTTACTGGCGACGAGACGTGGGTTTACGAGTTTGACATTGTATAGGTTGATGTGTGGCCGTGTGTACAATATTTTTTTTACGTTTAACGTGATCGCAACGTTACCGCGTTCAGCGCTCTGATTGGACAGCTCCAATGAACCAACCAATCAGAAGGCTAAACGCGGTGGCGTCTCGATCTCGTTGGAAGTGAAACAACCAAACAACAAGTGGAAGTGGACTAGTGTCTAAAGGGTCTCGATGTGTGTTTGTACATGTGTGCGTGTAGTCTTTGATTGTTATTTTGTAAGTAACGCGATCAAATTGCATTAGTATTACTACTTGTGTGAGTACCTTCGTCTCCCCGCGCCGAAAATGACAATTTTTTTTGCATAAATGTTAAGTACTCAAAACATGTAGTGGTTAAATAGTCTAAGATATGTCACAATAACAATCGATAAACATTTATTAATACTAACACTGGCAGAAATATCCTTCGTTTTATAATAGCAAATAAATTAGTATCAAATTTGTTTTGTTTTACCAACTAATTTGGTCAATAGAAAACTGAATTTAATTAAAAATTGATATTACATCAAGCGTATAGACTATTAGAAAAACTTCCTTGGTTTATTAGCCACGTAAATATATTAAATTATTCATAAAATTCTCAAAATACATTAATAAGTTGATGATAAGTAAAGTGTAAAGTAAAACGGGCAATTACAAAAATATCTTTATTTACTGCTGATTGCCTCATTGGCCGTGTGGTCGCAAGTGCGACGCCGGGCAACGGGTCCTGGGTCGGGCATAATATGACTGAGTTTAAAAAAATATCAGTAGTAGCACGGAGTCTGGAATTGTACCCGGTATATGGCAATAGGCTTAGGCTCATCTCCTATTACATGGGATTCATAATGAAAAGTGGGTGTTACATTGTACAGTGGCATTAAGTGCCGTATTGTGCACCTCTCTCTGCCTACCCTTTCGGGGATAAAAGGTGTGATGTTATGAATGAATTCTTATTTACAAAATTTTGTTCAATGTGACCTTCCTTACGAAGAATACATGTCAGCTTACATATCCCTGTGACTGACGGTCAGTCTTGAACTGAGGAGAGGAATACGTCGAGTTACAAGTCACCCTGTATAACATATCTAACTCATATTAAAAAATGAAACGTACTATAAATTATGTACTTTTCCTTTAAAGAATAAAAGGCATGTTTCAAAGTTCAATACCTTTTTAATCACAAATAGGTAATTAAAATTTAATATTCCCTAATGGGAACTCATTTCTGGAAATCTTTTAGATAAGTTGCACCGAAAATTTTAAGTATATATAGAAGAACTTAACTAACAAATAAATATAATAAAAAGTAGGTAGAGTGGCCAGCAGATCAAGCTATCCCTTTCTGTCAAACTCTGTTACATCAGTACAGTATTGACATTAAGTCGAAAATCCAATGAATAAATTTAACAGATTGGAGATCAACCTATGATCTGCTGGCCACTGCTCACTCTCTAAGGCTCCTCTGTTCTCAGTCTTAGTCATCATGAGTTTACTTTTACTACTTACTCAACAATGTCACCGATGTCGTCGTCTGTAGCCTGGTATGTACCAATGCGAAAGCCAGCTTCGACCGTTTCCTTAAAATCTGCGTTGTAGCTATCTCTGTCGAACCCAGGCAGTTCATCATTCCAATTGATAAGGTTAATGTTTATTATTGCTTCTCCAATGTGATCGTTATTATCCTTGTCAATTGCTACTGCCTGTAAAGTAACAACCATTAATAATATCTTGACAGTTCTGTAAAGGTTAAGCTATGCCATTCAAATTGGTCCAAGTAACATACCTTTAGCTTTATTCCTTTCGTGGGGTCATAGCCTCGATCATAATCCAACATATGGTGGTCAACTGTACCAATGATAAACTCTTGCTCCTGGTAACCTTCTTCAGGGGCGATGTAGAAGGCGTTATGAATCCCCTCTGGATGTATACTCTCTAAGTGAACTTTGTACTGTGCGTGGGGACCCTAGGAGAAAAGGAAACAATATTATTTTTCACACCAGCTGTTTCCCGACATCGTCCGCATAGCATATGAGTCTTAGGATATAACTTCTATGTTTCAATTTTTCAAAATAAAAGTAGCCTATGTTACTCCTTTGCACATCAGCTATCCGCCAGTAAAATTTCCATCAAAATCGGCTCAGCCATTTCAGAGATTAGCCAGTACAAACAAACAGATAGACAAAATTTAAAAAATATATTATGTTGGTATGTGTGTCGTATGTATATTCATATGCCTGTAGTAAAAAGCGATTATTTCTATATCTCACACTCCTATTTTATTTATCTGTATAGATTATAGGATATTGGACTCACAAATCTTTATAGGGAAAAGCAGATTTAAAAGTGGAAATGTGCATCTCTAGGCCCCGCTGTAAGAACACGTTAAAACAGTGTTTGCAGCATACATAATCTTTAATGAATACTTTTACCAAGAGAAAATATGCACAGAATTTTCACAAAAATGTACAATTACTTACAATATCACGGTCATGAAAACCGAAGATTGTTTGTTTGTTTGTCAAAGGTAACGTCATCGCAGTCTCTTCCATTATGGAGATCGTGTATTCCTTCTGGAAAGGTTCAGGCCTCTGATCATTTATATCGTTAATTATGATCATCACATTCGTTGGGGTCTCAAATAACCGTGGACCACCTTCGTCACTATCACCTTCGTCATCATGAACTGCCTGTCCTTGTTCACTACTGGATACAGGTATATCACCATACTTATACGCAATTATTGTTACATTAAACATATCCCTTTTTAGTGTGTCCCTGTCTATAGCTGCCACGTGGAACATGGCACCATCTCTGCCTTCTCCTAAAGTTTCAATGCTGAAGAATTCTTTGTCTGTGAACATAACAAGCAAAATAAGCATAAAGTGGACAATTACGTGACATATAAAACTTTAAATAGGTATAATATGCGATACTTCACATCAGAATCGGTACATATAACAAAAGTTTAAGCAAGCATTTTCCTCACTGAACCCTGGACACCACAAACATATATATTTCGTCAGAGATTAAGCGAGCGATCCGTAGGTACACTACTGGCACCCTATCAATACAGTGTTGTATCCAGCAATGTACTGTTAATTACTGGGACTGAAGTTATAATTTAATCTTACCTCTTTCTTCAGTTTCTATACGATAAAATATAGGTTTATTGATTCCCGTGTCGCCATCTATAGCTCTAACTGGGAACGATCTCTCCAGTTTCTCATCAAATTGTTGCACAGCAAAGATCGTTATCCATTGAGGGTTTCTGTGTTCCACATTCTCTACTTCAACCATCATGACGACTGTACGTGGGTTTGGTAACGAGTCCTGACGATTTGCATTTGATAAGCGATTAAAATAAAATAAAAAGATTTCAAACACTATAAGTTAAAAAAGTAAAATGAACTATTTGTACCTATGTATTGCGGTAAGAAGTCTCGGCAAAAGTGGATTAAATTGCATTAAATTGATATTATGTGCTATATAACCCATATAACATTGCTTCTTTTTAGTTAAGACTCGAATCATGTTATTTTACTTACCAAAGCCGTAACTCTGAATATGTGTAGAGGATTCTCAACATAATTAAGAGGCTGTTTCACTTCAAGGACCATATACACCGAGAACCAATCGCCCGGGATATTTTCTCTGGTCAGTTCGAATACTAGTTCGTCTCCTCTCTCGCTGTCTATTTCAAATCTCATAACACTTGTACTGATCTCACCATCTGCGTCGGTCACGACATATTTACATTCTGTAATACCGGGTTCACCAAGTTCCTGAAAAGTTTTGCTAGATTTAATATTTCTTGGGCATTTAATGTTCTTCACTGACTACTGGAAAATGTTTAATTTTCATTTTGCTGCAGGATTGAATTGCGCATGCAGGAGGGACGCACATATGACAAGCAACAAACCACAGTCGACACGTGTTTCACTCGTCCACGGAACATCTTCAGGTGTTGATTGGAAGACATCCTATATACATGAAGACAATTTATACTTTATCTAACACAATCTTACAAAGTAACACAGTAGTAGTTCACAGGTATAGGTGCAGCTGACGATACACTGTGGGTTGGTGGGTTGAAGGCCGATTCGATTATGGCATTTATTTTGCATCATATTATTCAACTTTTCTTACCGGTATGCTGCAAGGCTCTAGCATCTCAATGATTGGAGTATTGTCGTCGATGTTCACAATGTCTAGGGTCACCATCACAACCAGCGACTCGCCCTCCACTCCCACGTTGAATATATATCCTTGCATACCAGGAGTTTCATAATCCTGCCTGTAACAAACACTACAGGTTACATACCATACCACTAGAGCAATGTGTGTCCACTACCAGTCATTGGATAGTATACCCAAAGGAAGATTACGTTTATGTAGAGTAACTAGCTGTTGTCCGTGACTTCGACGGCGTAGCATATGAGTAGAGAAGTAGTACATCAGCCACCCTTTTTTTGAGAGGGGTAAATCTTCCAATGACTTCTCCCGCCTAGGGTTCCTTCTCCTGCTCTTCGAACCGGAGCCCCGGAAACCAGTTAGGCCTTCCGCGGCTCTGTATCGGGCATCAGCCCTACTACGCCCCATCTGTGATGGTCTGATGGCTCTTTGAGGCGCGCGCGGAACGCGACGCGCCGTACGCTCGGGTCTGGTTCTGGTCGCGCGGCGAGCCACCCTTGCTCACCGTCCGCAGACCCGCACTACGGTGGCCGAAGATCGTCACGCGATCTCCGACACCCGGAGTGTCTCCCGCGACGGCTGGGGTGTGAGGAGATTTGTTCCATCACGCGCTCCGCTTTCTCTTTGGTTAGCATTACTGCTTCGCAGAAGAAGGAGACGGGATCCCAGTCCCCCTCGCTCCGCACCATGGCGTGAATCAGAGCCGGACGCTAGAGGTCGCCGTTGCCGATCACATCCCTGAGGACATGGCGGTGCCCAGCTCAGGCAGAGCACACCGCTACCATATGCTCCACCGTATCCTTCAGATAGTCCTCGCAGTGATGACACCCAGGCGTCTACTCCCGCCCAATCCGAAACGGGAATCTATCGAAACTTTCGTGTCCAGTAAGCACCTGTGTCACGCGGTAGGTGAGGACGCCGTAGCGTCTCTCAGGCCACTCCTCAAAGAGACTTACCGCTGCAAAGTCAGCGAGCGCAGCGGTTGCAACAGTCGTTGCTGCCAATTCGCCATGAGATCGCGCCGGAGCTCATCCCGCCACGCACTAATCTGGCACGGCAGCGGAGGTTCGCCCCGGCGAAGAGCGTCAATGCGCAAAAAGACGACGCGCGCGAGTACCTTCGCTTCCAGATCCCACGGCGGTAATCCGGCAAGGAGGTTTGCTGCCTCGCCGGAGATCGTGCGATAGTACATCAGCTACAGAATTCTTTTACCAATAGAATGCTACATTCTTCCAATTTGACATAGGCTACATTTCATTTTGAAAAAAATTAGGTATCCTTGGTAAAATTTTAACAATGTAACCGAAGGTGTAGAAAAAGGAGTCTTAAAATGTCTTTCGTCGAATGCGCTGCCGAAACTATTAGTGATAGAACAAAATAATGTACAACAATTTTGCAGAACATCATAATGTCTACAAAAAACTCCGCGGTAGCATATGTCCAACTATTGTAGATATGTCACTACAACAATCCAAATTTCCAAAAATAAATAATTGTCTACCCCGTGCGAAGCCGGGACGGGCTGCTAGTTATGTATATTCATATGCCTGTAGTAAAAAGGTCATATGCCAGTTATTTTAATATTACAAACAGATACTCTATTTTTATTTATCTGTTTAGATTATATTGATATGATTTTATTCACTGTTTTTCATTTAAGTCATTCATTCAGTACAATAATAGGGCGAGACTCGATCTTGCATATTATTATGCTGTTGCATGTACTGTGGAAACTTGAGACTTGGGACAATTGTAAACCAATAAATGCTTTTTCTTTATGAAGTGTATATAGTTTGTAAGCCCTTAAGAATTCTCAATAAGATAGGAAATACTTTTATTATGAGGCTTTTACCGGTATTCATAAAGCATATCGTGGAGTTGGAGATACAATGCAATCTGGGGACATTCTAAAAGTCATTGTGCCTCACCTCTGAGTGATAACAAGATGCCAGTCTCCATTTTCGTCAGGGTATCTACGAATTTCTGCTCCAAGCATGTGGGCTGCTCCCATGATAAAAGGTGTTTGTATTTGAGGTCTGCCGTTACCTGAAAGAAATGAATAGAGTTTTGCTGAAACAATCTTGTTAAATGTATGTGTATAATATTTTCTTTATCATCTTTTATTTAGGGTCTTTTGGTCACACAAAGGCCATGTCAGACCCATCTTTCTTCAAAGATATTTATTTAACAAAACTTACATTTACATAAATACTACGTGATACTACTCTTATTATTTACTATTTTATATATCAAGATGGCTGCTTTGGCTGTGACAATCCTTACTAATATTATAAATCGGAAAGTGAGTTTGTTTGTTTGTTCTGCTTTCACGCCGTAACTACTAAATGAAATGCTTTGAATTTTTGCAGACGTAAAGTTAGAAGTCCGGATTAAATAATAGGGTACTTTTTATCCTGGACAAATTTGGAATTCCCAAGAGAAAACAAAAGTATTGGTATAGATGGCGCTGTGTGTATTGGTATATGTCGCATAGACTACTTTTTATCCTTTTGTGACGCGAGCGAAGCCGCGGGTAAAAGCTAGTATACTATAAATAACATCAACATCCAATAAATTAATTCTAAACATATGTTTCAAGGGCTCTCTCCCTCTCTCTATTTATTTAGTAATTGGTTAAATATTGTGAACCATTGGTCAAATTAAGCAACGGAATTAAAATTCTGTGTTAATTTGATGAACATTATTAAAACTATCTGTGATATTTATGATTTCATTGGGGTTGGGACAGGATTATGAGTTTATGTATGAATTGATATTATAGGGAATCTGCTTACCTCGGTAATTAAGCTTTGCAATGGCCACGTCATCTACGATCTCCTCCTCCATGTAAATTTTCTGGTAACCATGGTTGGTGCTAAAGGGATCAGGTGTATAGTCATTGATGCAGACGTCTTCTCGATCCTCAGCTGGTAACAGTGGCCACTGAGCCCATGTCAAACCTATTGAAATATTTATTTAATTAGAAAAGGATCTTATATCCGTGGAAAGTATTTTTTTATGGCATAAGCCGGTAAACGAGCAGACGGATCACCTGATGGTAAGCAGTCGGCGTCGCCCATGGACACCTGGAACACCAGAGGCGTTACAAGTGCGTTACCGGCTTTTTGGGATTAGGAGTTTGAGGATCGTTGGGGATTCAGAGATTGGGGAGATTGGGGAAGGGGAGGGTAATTGGGCCTACGGTAACCTCACTCACACGACGAAACACAACGCAAGCGTTGCTTCACGTCGGTTTTCTGTAAGGCAGTGGTATAACTCCGGTCGAGCCGTGCCGAAGCATGGCTCTCTCACACTTAAAAGAGAATACATGTGCTTGAACCGAAATATGTCCTAAAACTGAATCAATCACAGAGAAATGGCAATTTTTTTGCTCTTAGATTATCCTTATATTTATGGGTTAGGGGATTTTTTTTTAAGTGGGGAAAATCATCGAATGACTGCTCCCGCCTGGGTGAGGCAGGAGGGAGTGTCAGACTCTTACTGACTAAAAACCACCCCATTCCTTCTCCTGCTCGTCGAACCGGAGCCCCGGTTACCCGTTAGGTTCTCCGCGACTCCGAATCGGCTTAGGGGATAATGTCGACAACTTGATTGTATGTCAACGGAGTAACAAGTGCGTTATCGACCTTTTTTAATTCAGATTTTCTGTGACGGTGCGTCGTGGTATCAGTATCAACCCCGTCGCGTCGCGTCGACCCATTTATAGCGAAACTTAACTCTGTGTAGACAATGACGACTCACAAGTAATTTATATTATGCAAGCTCACCGTCAAAATTTTGTGGTGGGAAGTCAGGCCTCTCTGGTCTGGGTATTAACACCATGTAGCCACATCGATCTGAAAATACAAGTATAAGTTAACTATAACTTTTAACGGTTATATACTGATAGTTTGGAATCACGCCCCTACGCCCTTGTTTAGTTATATCAAAACCTTGTTGATATCGATACCTTGTTGAGCGGTTGCGGCAGTGGTGAGTATCAGCAATGTTGCTATCAGTAATCGCACATCAAGCGCCATCTCATGATCTTTTGAAGTTGGTTCTTACTTCTCTAGTGATGATGATTCAGCTATTATCTGTGGAAGTAAACAATGTTTAATGACTATCATATTTTTAAAATTTTAAATCATGGTTGTGAGGGAACAGACAGTTCACCTGTGCGTACATACGTACTTAGTCATTTTTATGTAGGTACTAGTGAAACAAGTGAAGTTATTTCTGCAAATAGGCTACAACGCTACAAGGCAGCACTTTTATATGTCAATCTTATCAAGCGAACGATGAGGCCGACATTTTCTAACTGACTACTCTGAGAAGAAATGCCGAAATAAACTCAGAGGTCTGTCTCTTTTAAAGTCCAGACAATATGTATAATAGATTATGTGTGAGAACCGTGCAAGTTCTTTCTGTAGTGGCCTTTTGAGGAAAGAACCACAACAGTTTGAGTAGACCCGTTCTGAAGGCAGTACGCATGTGTCGGCTTACAATCAGCTCAATTAACAGGTGAGGCTGACTGATTCGACGAACAATACCAACCTAAAGAACGTTGAGGTGGGTCGTATTCTCTGACATCTAAACGAACCACTTATTTTCTTAAGTCTAGTAGTGGGAACAACATATTTGTCTTTATTTTTCGTAAACTTTTGTTTTTATGAACATATAGGTACTACATTTTCATAAGTGTATTGACAGGCAACAGTCATTATATTTATTTCTTTAAATAGTGACTTGAGAGAGTGCTTTGGACAAGGATTATATATTGATCGAATGACTCTCTTCTGCAGAACAAAGATAGATTGAATGTCAGCAGCATTCCCCCATAGGCGAATACCATATGAAAATAACTAAAGCAAAGTATGATTTTTTTTAAGGGGGGAAAATCATCGAATTACTTCTCCCACCTGGGTGAGGCCGAAGGGAGTGTCAGACTCTTACTGACCAAAAACCTAACGGGTTACGTAACGGGTAACGTTTTAACCTAACGTTAGGTTCTCCGCGAAAGTAAAGTATGACTAGAAAGTCATACAATAGCAAAAATTATCCACATAACGATTTTTACATAAAATCAACGAATTATGAAGATATTGGTGTTTTATAAAAATCAGAGGCCTTATGTTTTCATAATTATCAATAATTCTTAATCAAACATTCCAATCTTTGCGATATCTAGTGAGTTAACAAAGCAGTTTAAACGTCCTACGGGTTTGCAAATTGGAATAAGATTTGATTTCAAAAACACCTGCACCGAGATGTACTTAACATTTACATCACTACATTTTATCACAAGCTACAGTGTCGTGCGCGCCTCAAAGAGCCGTCAGATCACTTCAGATGCGGTCCATTAAGGCTGATGCCCGATCCGGACAGCGGACTGCGGACAAGCTATAGGGTTAACAGGGCTAGGGTTCGAAACAGAAGTTGGAATGGGATGGTTTTCAATCAGTACTTAAGACCCTGACACGATCTCGCAGTCTCGCCTCAGCCAAGGCGGAGAAGTCATTGGATGATTTTCCCCCCCACAAAAATGGTACCGGCGGCGGGTACGGTAAAGGTACAGACAATGGCAAAATTTTGTTTTTTTTTTGTTTTGTTTGTGGTAAGTTGACGCATTATCCCATTAGGTTTTTCTTTATACTCTACTGATATTTCTTGAGACACCATTTACTCAATCGTCTTAACAGCTTGTGGCTGGACGTGATTCGAATATAAAACATTTAGAGTCACATAGGACAATGAAAAGAAATAGAAAATATTGTTTCTGCTTTCTGGAATGCAATGTCTTTATTCCAAGTAATTTAGTTAATTATGTTTTACTACCATTGTCCTTATCGCTACCAAACCTCATCACAAGTCCCGTTTTCTGTCACATACTATTTTTGTTTTTCTTTAGTTATGCTAATAACTGCATTTCAAGGGATTCAATTCAAAACATTATAAAGTGGTATACCTAGTGTACCTATACCTACATAGCGAAGGTGTCTTTCTTGTTGTTCTTGGAAGTTGCGCAAAATACTGTGCCAGCCAGTACTTACATAGAAAAACAAACCGAAAGAAAATGGATGTGATTCGTCAAACGAATTATGTCATAATCCTTATTATAAATGCTTAAAAGTTCTTAAATAATCTAAAGATCTTTCTAAACGGTAATACTATTGCAAGTAACTTCCAGCTACCAAGCGTAACTAACCGGCCACGTTACGTCATTAGTCGAATGCATGCATCCTTCACAAAAAATAGGCGGCCGCTAAATGACCAATGCTTTCACCCTTGCGTAGAAACAATGCAAACGTTAAATCCGCCAATCGTTTTTAATGAGTGCATAAATTCGTCAAATAACGCAACATAGGCAGTTTTTTTTAAGGGGGGAAGTCATCGAATGGCTTCTCCCGCCTGGCTGAGGCGGGAGGGAGTGTCGTACTCTTACTGACTAAAAACCACCCCGTTTCTACTCCTGCACTTCTTGCCGGAGCCCAGGCAATCCGTTAAGTTTTCCGCGGCTCCGTAACGTGGACAGTAGACCTTATTCAAACATTTGTTGGATATTGTATGGCTCTTAAGACGCACTTTTGTTTATTTATTAGAGCTGAGGTTCTAGGAAAAGAAAAGTAAGAACATAATCGTATAGAAACATTAAATACAGTACTAGTACGTAACGGTAAGCAGGCACTTAACAGTAGCAGGTAGTCCATACTAATTTAGGCAGCTATTATTTTATATTTATCTGATGGAAAGTAAAAGAACAGATGCCTAAAGATAAGACCGTGAAACCAGTTAATAATAGTACTTACATGTCGGTACTTAAGTTAAATCTTTAACAATATTCCGAAATGCTTGCACCTAACCCAAAAACCACTAGAAGAACAAGATAAATAAAATAGATTTCAATAAAAACACTCCAGTATGTCACTTTGTTTCACTATATTTAATGCGACTGTATATTTTTTGTGAAAATCGTCGGATATCGATAAGATTAAGCGATAATTACGTATTTTACATATCGATTAAGGCGAACGATAGCATCCGATAGGAGATTGCGATAATTTTTTTTGTATCCTGAAAAGTTTTTAACCTTCCAATGTCTTTACAGGAAACTTTTAATGGTAGGCTCTGATTTCGTTTGTGAACGATCATCATAATATAGTCATTCATAAGTCAGTCATAAGATGTTCTAGCTGGGTTGTTTGCTAAGCACCAGTATCGGTCCCCCAATGACTTCAGATCGGCCGATTGGAAACGACCTGCAAATTATTTGTACTTAGTACAACCCATTTTGAAATATGTTTGTAGGAGGCACTTTTGTTATTTGATACACAATGTTTATCTATGTTATTGCTTCTATTGCTCGATATTCTGCGATTTACTGATATTACACGGAAGTCGATTAGGTAATTAGTAAAAATTATTGTGACCATATACTTTTTTCGCTCAGCGTCATCGTCCAATTCTTACTTATTGTAATGGAACTTGAGCACAGCGTTGTCAAGTATTTGAAATATGTATCCATCCATCCATTCTTCCGTCCATATATTCTCACAAAGTTTCGCTATTTTGTTATTAGTAGGATTGGGTGCCACTTTTCATGTTTAGAGTCAATTTTACATGGACTTTAAACATATTTCTTTAAGCAATTATTATTAAAGAGTAAATAATTTGGAAATCTAAGAATTCCGTAACCTGGCGAAAATATGGGCGCGTAGGTAAAGAGAGAGAGGTGACGCTGATGGTTATCAATCACGTTGTATCTCACACTATTGATATCCATTGACGAAACAAAGACGCCACGTACGCACAACTATGATCTCTGACCCTATCACCACGTGTCTACTGGACCATTGACGCATTTAAACGTGTAATCCCATTCAAACGAGAAATAATATTATTTTTACAAACTTCATATAGTATGTGTTGTGGTCATCCAAGGGTAGATTAAATTAGAGTGAAAACCGAATATGAAAGAATTATTATGCAGCCTTCAATGATATGCCACGGACGACTTAACGGATTAAGGAGCCTCCAGCTCGAAGTGCAGGAGAAGGAACGAGGTGATTTTAGTCAGTAGGAGTCTGACACTCCCTCTCGAGTCTCGCCTCACCCGAGCGGGAGAAGTAATTTTATTATTATCTCCCCTAAAAAAGCCTTTCATGATATGATATAACTAAAAACACAAACCGGCACTGCTTGACTGCAGGTCAAAAATTCAGTAACTATAACTTATTCTCTAGCCTCAAATTCTATGTCTAAACACAAAAATCTCACCTAAGAATGAACCGGTATCATCTCTGTGTTATTTCCTCCTATTTAAATAGTAATGAAAGTATTGAAACATATTTTTCAGTACATTGCCTCCTGTTTCCAGGTTGGCCCTTTAATAGTCTGAAGGACAGTCGGTACAGACAGTCTTTGTTATTTTTTTGAGGTGAGAAAATCATCCAATGATGCTCCTGCCCGGGTGAAGCGAGAAGGAATGTCAGACTCTTACTGACTAAAAACCACCCCGTTCCTACTCCTGCACTTGGAGCCGAAGGCCCCGTAATCCGTTAAGTCCTCCGCGGCTCAGACAGTCTTTACTTAGCAAACAGATATTGTTTTATAGATATGTAGATATTAGTACCTTTCAGAGTACGTCACAAAAGTCACAATATTTGGGACGTATGTTCTTACACAAGATTTTGTAATTTCCCTTGTTTTAATAAACAATTCTTTGTTTCAAGGAAAGGAATTTAAATTAGTATAATACGCAGTAGGCCAAGTGCAGATTTCGAGACGTGGTCAATAAATTACTCATTGTGCAATGAAATTTGTTTATTTTCAGTTTGATTGCGTGTAAAATTCAGCGTGTTGCTCAAATTATACAAAAAAGGATTTAAACGATTAGGATAATAAGCAGGTATTTAATAACATAGAATCAAGATATAGAATAAACCTTTTTCATGCATCAGGGGGATAGATTATACAAGAAGTAGTTATTTTTTATGATATACGCAGATAAACGAGCAGTCGGATCACTTAATGGCTTAGATTATTTTAAGGGTCAAATACTCTAAGCCTGATGGTAAATTGGTAAGTAATCGGTGCTGCCCACGGACATCCCGAACACCAGAGGCGTTACAAGTGCGTTACCGGCCCATTGGGGATTAGGAACTTGATTGGGGAAGGGGGTAATGGGGCCTTCGGTAACCTCACTAAGACGACGAAACACAACGCAAGCGTTGTTTCACGTCGGTTTTCTATAAGGCCGTGGTATTACTCTGGTCGAGGTGGCCCATTTGTGCCGAAACGTGGCTTTCTCATACTTATTTACATGTATAGTCAATTATACAGGAAATATCTTGCGAAAAGTACATTGTATAAAATATGAAACAATACATACGTATACATCTGTATTCTTACACGTACCTTATATTTATACTTTATAGGTCAAAAGTACCTATCTCAAAACAAAGATTCCAAAAAATGAACAGCATATCACTTTGAAGTATTTTATCATTATCAAGGAAAGCAATGAGCGATATGATTAGGAAGTGATACAATTACTTTTCATGATTTATACACAACTAGGTACATATCATACATAGCATATTATTATATCTACTTATAATGGAACCGTGTTAGCCGTCTAATACCTAAGATAACGGGGCTCCCCGCTTTTTGCTGACAAAATCATACTAAAGTATCACCGCATTGTTTATTGAGATGAATGCTTTTCTTCAAATGGTGGTAACATTTTGAGGAGAAAGACTAGAGAATATAAGACCCTTACAATAAACTCCTCCTTATGCAATTGGGTAGTTTCCAGGGTATTAAATTAAAACTCTAATTAGTCCGTCAATTACATAATGAAAATATTAGACACGTATTTTTTTATTTTGTCGTATTAAGTTGAAATACTTAGATAAAATGGCGATAAGTTTAGGAAGTCGTTACGTCACAACGTGCTACAAAATATAACACGCTGTGACGTCACAGGATACTTCAAATTAATATATCGTCGAAAGTATTTAATTTTATGAGAAAAGGAAATAATACGTGTCTAAAGTTTTAAATTAATGTACCAGACGGACATTAAAATAAAATTTAGGTGACTACCCTATTGTATAAAATAAAACAAAGCACCCTGATGGCCACTATCAGTAACTATAATAAGGGAGCACCCGATGCTAAAGAATTCAAAATGTAGTGGCTCATCTACGATTACGTCACATGCCATTTTTGAGGGAGAAAATCATCAAATGACTGCTCCCTGGGTGAGGAGAGAGGGAGGATCAGACTCTTACTGACTAAACGCCATCCCGTTCTAACTCCTGCTCCGGTAACAGTTGTTTACAGTCCCGGTACCGGGTACGGCACATACCTCTGGATACATTTGTACGTCTTTGCCTACCCTCTGGAGTGGATGCCCATATGGCATTAAGTGCACCTATAGATTTTTGTAATTCAAGGTTTTCATACTTTTAATAAATACAACTTGTAGCATTGCACGTCTTTGAAATTCTGTGTAACAAAGTATTTAAGTATGCTTAAGTGTTTCTGTTGATAAATATGTTTAGGTAGAGGTACCTACTTTCATGTTGTTATCTTCGTAGAAATATTTATTTACTGACTTAGCGTGATACAGATACGCACAGTCGCACAGTAAAGATTCATTTTTTTATGTAACGTGGCAATGCTGCCAGTCTTTTGGGCACCCTACCTCACGGTAGCGATGAGGAAAATGTTTTCTTTGATGCCTTATGATTTATTTTTTTTATTATTATTTTTTTAAGGTGTAGGTAAATATTTTAGTTTTAAATTATTTTTTTATATTTTAAGTTGTATATATTAATTTTTATCTTGTATTGTATATATTTAATTTAGTAATAGTTATTATTAATATTTCATTAATCTATTTTTAAGTTTAATTATAATTGAAAGTTTAAATATTTTTTTTTATGTAGCCAAATAAATAATTGTAAAAACTGAGATATGTAGTTTTATTTACAATTATTTATACATAGATAGCAGAATTTCAACAATTTATTTAAGCTCGTTTAAAAATGAACATAACGTTTTTATAAAATCTTGTAAATAAATCAATCACTTCTAATGTCAGTGTGTGACCCGCGATAAGGCACACTTTGATGCGCGGTACGCGGGCCCTGCGCCGGCGCAACATCTCAGTTGAGAGCTGCTCGTCCAAGTATCAACGTACCCTTATCACAACAAGTGAGTTTGTTTTAACTTTCATATTAGTTTTATAACTTTTTGAATTGTGTTTAGTTTATTGTTTTCTAGACATAGAAGGAGGTGGTTTCTAGCAATAGTGCAACAATTAAGTAGGCTGTGTTGGCGAAAAAGGTTAACTTAGGTTTACTATGAAATAGAAATACGCATCTATGTATTAGGCATCTATTAGGTACTTGATATCTACTACGTGTATATGGGTTTTCAGTAGTTTACGGTCACATTTATTCTTCCAAAACCGTTATCAACCAGTCACTCGTTAGTTATATTTATATGTATGTGAAGTCAAAGTTGTTTGTGTTACCCCACACAGTTTAACCAATTCTTAAACTAAAACTAATCGGTTATCTATGAAACTGGTTCCTGTTGAATTATATATTTATTAGTTTTAAATACATAGTGTTTATTATGAACTCTTATTTTGTACTTAATATTGTGTAAGAATAAAGTCATTTTTGCATTGTGTTACTCTCCATGAGGGACACAATAACAGATTGCGAGGGTACTTCATTTATAATTAGCATTAATATGAATATCTGTTGAATGAAATGAGAACGACGACTGTTTATTATTGTTTGCCCGTATATCTATCTTCTATTTATCTATAGGTACATATAAAATAATCGTAGGAAAGTGTAAACTGTACATTGGATATTTTCATAAAAGAATGCTTGGGGCGTGGTCTACAATCGATACCGAAGCCAAAAATATGGCTTTTAGAATTTTTGTCTTTTTGTCTGTCTATGTAGATATGTCCGGGATAAACTCATAAACTACTGCACGGATTTACCTCAAATTTTGCATAAATATTACTAACAGGTCCGCTCAACATTTAGGCTACATATTATTATCACTGGAGACGTGCTGTGAATCACTTTCACGAGGATGAAGTCGCTGGCACAGCTAGTTTTATAATATTCTCGTAATTATTTCTTCTGAAGTTGTCATTATAACTTAAAATATGGTAAAACTGTAAATTTAAGTCCCACGCCCGAATACTGAAAGGCTACTCAATTTTATGTTTTACTAAAATATCTGCTATCTCTGTCATTTCACGAAGAATTTGTAGTGACAGAACTATGTATACTTAAGCGCGACTCAAAATTGAGTGGTCTTTGAGTATTTCAGCGTAACTTTGTAATGTAAATAACGATAGTTTTATGGTAATGACTGTCGCCAGAAATTTCCTACATAGTCGTAAGGCTCGCTCTCATAGAAATAGTGACTGTTAAATTATTGAAATCAGTTGATCCTCTCAGTTATCTCTTTTGACATAAGTTTAATTTGAGCTTTAACTTATATTTATTGGAAATACAAGTCAACATCTCTGTCGTGTGTCTTTTTTTAATTTCGCGGACAATATTTCGTCAACTGCGGACTATAGGTTGGGAACCACTGGTCTATAGTAACCAGGTGCCACAATGATTGTTTCAAGGGACTGTGTCCGCCTTTTTTTCAACGTCCTTGACATAGATCTAGCTTTTAGCTCCATTGGCTGTATATCGGTTCAATTCTTTATCCCGTGACTCATGTACGTGGTACACACGAGCTCACGAGTACTTAATGGTCTCGTTTTATGGTCTGGTATTAGAATTTTGTATGATTCTTCCGCACATCCACAGTCAGTTTATTCTTTAAGTAGATTATATTAAGGAGATTTTATCAGAATGCTTGAAGTATGTATTTGGTTATGTTTTATTGTTGTAGGTAAATATGTCAGTTACTGTACCTAATTGGATTTTCTGCCGTTGTGACTGTTCAAAAATAAATAAATAAAATAAATAACTCTGGTTTTGCATAGCCGGTTTTGCATGTATGAAGCCACAGTATGAAGCTGTGTACAATAAAATAAACTTTAGAATAGAATCCATTGATGTGTGGTCTGTCAACACCTTGCGATAGTTTCGCTCACTTAACGCATGCATCCGTGGCTCTGATTGTGGGCAGTGCAAGGGAGCAAGGTCCAAGTATTCATCATCCCCTCTGATAAGGAATATGATGACTCGTAACTTATCTCATTGTTGTGTCGGATATTCCGAGCTTAAAATAGGTCTACAATGCATAAAGTTGCCTTCTTTCCACGATACAAGAAACATAATTTTTCATATGCAATGAGTACCGAACGCAAACCTTCTAAATGTGATTGTGATTTAAGTATTTTAAATAAAAAACATAAAATAATTTGAAATTAGAATTCTTTGCAAAATAGTCTTGATCTACAGCCGTACGGTAATTTCATTTACGTATAAATCCTATTTTTGACTTTGGAACAATGTGTATAACTTCACATTTTCAGTCAGAAGAGTCGCAATAGCGTGTGCATTCGTGGCTGGTGTGTGTAGGGAGCAAGGTCCATATATTGTACAATCTGGAACTATTAATAGTAATGATCATCGATCTCCTCTGATGAGGATGGCGTTAGTCATCATCATGTTTCCATTATGTTCCAGTATTCGAAGTCCTCCGGTTCCGGTCCTCTGTTTTCAAAGTCGCTTCAAAACAGCTAGTTTATTCTGTAACTTGCAATTCGAAAGAAATAATTTCAATATGAAATGAGCCGGTAAACGGATCACCTGATGATAACCAATCAGCGTCACTCGGACACCCGGAACACCAGATGCGTAACAAGAGCTTTACCGGCGTTTTAGGTATTAGAAATTTGAGGAGGAAGGTGGAGGTGGGTAATTGGGCCTGATTGACCTGAGTCCACTGATAGTTACAGAATAGCCTAGCTGGTGTAGTTCAGTACCATAACATAATAATAGCGGCCAAACGGACATATAAAAAATAAAAAATAAAAGGATCAGACAGTAAAATGTTGACCTCTATTGAACTACATACAACTTTTTTTTTACACGATGGTACAAAGTTTATAGATAACAGAGATTCCGGCAGAGAGCACGACAGTTTCGGTCGCTTTACCAAAGGAGGTTGTGAAGTTAAGGTTTAGAATGCCAATTGAAAACTGTTGAAGGCAAATACTTACTGTGCCCAGCTCATACTGAGTTGGCGAGCCCATCATGAGAATGTTGCCAGTTTGCTTTCTTTTTATTATTATATATTTTTTAATTGTTTTTTTATCTTCTTTGCTTTTATTGTTTTTACTGTTATTTTACGTATTTATGTGTTTTCATGTTGCACCTTTGATTGTTATTTTACTATTGCGTAGATGGTGCATCATGTCTAATGACAATTAATTTATTTTTCTTTCTTTCTTTCCTTTAAAAGCCTTTCCTCAAATATGTATTTGGAAACTAGATAAATGTCAATAAAAGTGTTGCAGTTAGTCCCCTCAATCAACCAAACATAATGGAGATTTTCCTCCAAGAGACTTACTCTCACTCACATGTTCCAGCAATATCACGCGTTATTCGTGCAATCGACCGTAATGTTTACATTCAGACAATCACTCATTATGATAAGCAGATCAAGTATCTGCCTCCAGTTCACAGAGTAACATGAAATCTAAGCTTCCTAAGATTTATGGATATATGTCATGCACATTGTCAATGATATTCGCCCTTGAGATTGATGACTAATTTAATCATTTCCATTAATAAATATGACCTTATTCTTAGTACAGTCATGTAACATCTCATTACCAATAGACTTATTATTTTAAAACCCACTGATAACCTTTTCAATAAAATAAACAGTACCTATCATTATTCTCGTAAAGTCCAATCTTAATCGACAGTCAGTGCCGTGAAAAATCACACACAACATCATTTCGTGTAACAAATTACGGTTCAATAAAAAAAGTTTTAAATAAAAAAAAAAAATTTGAAATTCGAATGTCATACGAATATACCGCGAAAATCACGGTGATAAAGATGGCGGAAAATGGTAACGTTTATAAAAAAAGTTTTAACGGCACATGTACTTTGGGTGTGAACAAACGGACGACCGGTTCCATTGCTAAAAAAGCTGAAGCATACTTAAACGCAGTCAAAGAAAGTTTAGGACCACCAGGTTTGTTAATTAATTTGTATAGATAACCTGATTTTTCGATAATTCTAGAAAATTTGGCTGTAGGCAATTTTAAAACGTGGCTACTATGTAGTATGTACACGATAGGTACTATAGGTAAATATAATTGGTACTTAGTAGGTAGCTCAGTAGAACAGAAAATAATTCTACTGGTTTAGATTTTGAGATTGAGTAATATGAAACTGAAAACATCAGTGTCGGTATACTGAGTAACACTAACTTGTTCGGTATTATAATAATACAAATTAATATAAAAAGGCAAAGTCCATTTTTTTCTTTTTTTTTATTTTATTTCAATTAGACAAGAAAAGCTATTTGCTCATTCCAAGGTGTAGATTCCTATGGAGAAGAACGAGCGAGAAACTCCATAGGTTACTCTTTTTCAATCAGGTTCACAATACAATTCTCTAGTTACATAGTTTTGTTGTTTGGGTTGAATAGTTAATTATAATAATTTTATTACAAAAAACATATTACAAAATACTCATTAAACTGTCAAACACCAAGCGGTCACCGGTGACCGCAACCTATTGTTCTATAATTGTGTCAACAAAACCGGTACTCGACGAGTTAATCGCTATTGACGTAATTTATTTTATTTTATTTATTTATTTCTTCTTCACAAAATACGACAGTGAATGGCGGACTTAATGCCTTAAGGCATTCTCTTACAGTACAGTCAACCATAGGGAAGTGCAGAGAAATGAAGTGGTTGATGCGAAGCCCAATTGCGAAGTACAATTGAAAAATAAAAAATAAGTTATGTAATATGTATACGACACACATAAATACCCATAGAATAAATATATTAGTACAGTATTTTATAAATCTGCATTATACATTTTTTTTTTTTTTATATATTTACTTCAATATTTATTTTCTAGAATTAATAATAACATAATTATACAATATTATATAAATACCATATAATATATAAACAAATACTTATACCTACTACATAAATACTACAATATAGGTACTATATAAAAAAAGAAAACGTTGTCAGAATAGTTTCCTCAATTGTTTAATTGAAGTCGATACAATAAATTGTATGTCCCAAAAATACGTCGGTTGAGTATGAGATGCATTTACATAGTATTCCATCTAAGTATAATAAATATCTTTTTCATAAAGCAAGGACCCTATTTTTCAACGTCCTTGCCTTAAAATACCAACATGACTAGTAAAGAGGATAATGCAATTTAGTCGAGTCGTAGTCCGGTCTACGCTACGTTTGACCGCTACGCGAGTCTACGGTGCTACGGACTACAAACTCTTCGTCGTTGCAATTTTTTCGTAGAGTTTTTAATAGTTATGGTGTTTAATGAGATCATCGTCAATAACTTTTAGACTAGATTTTAATCTTGCCCCTTAACCGCTTGATTGCGATATGAGACACAATAGACAATAAATTGTGTATCACGTGGATCCGCGTTTAGAGTTGACACACGAAAGGTTAATAAATATCATCTGTTATGTACAGAGTGGATTCATGTAAAATTAAGTTTGGGTTGCAATGTATATGAGGATGGTTATACTTCAGTTTCTGGCTAACCCCATGAAACGAAAATGTGGGTGTGGTCATAAGTACCTAAGAAATGGGCACCTTAAATTTTGTATGTAGGTATTCTAATGATTCGAAACTATAATCGAATAATTCGCTAAATATTTGTTTTCAGAGAAATTCTCCGACCAAAGAAATGCATAATTATACATGTAGCGATAAGTGTTATGTTCGGTAGTAAGTAGATTGTATCACGAATCAGTAAAATGAACATGTTTCCTTACATGCATATCAAAATGATAACCACAATTTTGTAAAATCGGTTAAACGTTTAATAATACGATATTTTACAACTAATCAAATTCAATACTTTTATCAAAACGTCAAAAACGATATTGATCTATGAATTTTGTACCAAAAACTAACTTATGACGTCATCATATTTTCGAGTCAAATAGCACACTTATTTCTGGAAAAATTGCTAGAGTAAATCGAAAATTAAGTACCTATATCGTCAAGTATATTAATGAAATTGTAATTATTTTTGAATATGTAATTGGATTGAAAAATCAAAATAATTTATTTTTGACCTAGGAAAATACCCAGTTTTTGTAGAGAAGAGGAGAAGGAGCGAGAGAGACTTTTTTTTTTTTTGAGGTGGCAAAATCATCATATTATGACTTCTCCCGCCCGCGTGAGGCGGGAGGGAGTGTCAGACTCTTACTGACTAAAAACCACCCCGTTCCTACTCCTGCACTTCGAGCCGGAGCCCCGGTAACCAGTTAAGTCTTCCGCGGCTCCGTATCGAGTGAGACTTGGGGGTCATATTTTTGTATTTTATAAAATATTTTCAACAAAGTCATAGTTAACCCCTTGACATGGTAATTGCGACATTATAGTAGAAAATATCATTGTGGCGCAAGTGGACTGCGTACGTCGTAGACTTTTCTAAAATTATTAATATTGATATTTTGTCACCAGTGGCAAAGGTTCAGCAAAGACCGAGTATACCGAAGTTGGAGGTGGTGCAGAGGGTGGCTGCCATACCCATCGTGGGTTCTGGCATCGAAGTCACCGAGAAAGTCTACCACAGGATCAGGGTAAATATGAATGATCTAGTTTTTATCGATGTACAGGAGAAAGGGTTAAAGTTGAGCAATTATTATTTTTATACAGGCAAAATTGACTTACACCAATTTGTAGTTACTTTAACGATACTAGATGTAGTATTTAGTATGATGTAGTAGACCCCGACTATTATTTTCAATGTTTAATTGTTAATGTTATTTCTTTCTTTTTGTACACCTTGTACAACTTCAGGATATTTGATTATGATAAAAAATACCC